ATTTTCCGATGGCATTCCAGGATAGCTTCCCAAATTTCTGCTACCGCAGTTGTCGGTTGATTGGTCAAACCACGAACACTGACATAAAAACTTGGTTCCACTTATGTCTCGCTTGCGTTTAGTAGTTATTTCTGTTGAGTACTTTTCTTGGTTTTTAATGTCTTCAATCAAACTGACATACAGAATATTTTTCGCTGCGATAATTTCGAAGTTTTTTCCACAAATACGACAATTTCTGGTGGATGATCAGCCATTCACCAGTAGTTACATAGTTACCCTTGGGATATCAAAGGGTGTGAGTTTTTCGACAGCAGTATGGAGGAACTGTTTGACAGCCTGATGGCCAGGGATAGGGGTGAAGTAATTACCTTCCTGGGTTTATTGCTTGATCGCCTGGACCTGAGTCCATCAAAGCTGCTAAGGGGCAGCCCCGTGGTGGCAGTTCGGGAGCCCTCTGGCCTTCCACCAGGGGCCAAGGAGCTTCTCGAGCGTCCGTCACGGAATGTATCCTCCAGAGATACTTCCGTCAGCACCATCCTCTCTGTTCAGTCTGAGACAAACAACGACGACAATACGATCAAGCCTCAAGAACCGGCCAACAAAAAGCGTCGCCTTCCAAAAGAGTTTCCTCCTCTTCCATCTGAACCAGTCGCTCCAGTAAACAAAAATACCGGCAACAAGCCCAAAAAAGTGGCTGGAAAGATGTCAAAGCTCCGGGACGAAGCCAAGAACAACATTTCAGAGTCAGAACTCTCAACAACATAGTCTTCCGTCGAAGGTGACCATGAAATGTTGGTTGACGACAATAGGTCTGGAAAATCAACTTTGACTATACAGGGTGGCCCAAAACAGCCATTTCAAAATCTAAATCAGGTTGAAAACCCCAACGATCAGGAAACTAGCTCCCCTCTCCCTCCGCGTCCTGAGGTGCCCCAAAGCACCAGAAAAACACGGGTTCCCCCAATTGTCGTTCGCCAGAAGGACAAGTGGGTTCAATTCACAAAGCTGGCTGCCTTCCATAAGGTGAACTTTACCAAGGCAGTAAACATGGCTGACGGCATCAAGGTTCAGCCTTCTTCGGCCGAGTACTACAGGAGTATGTCCAAACTATTGACGAGGGAAAATCCCCCACCACACGTATTCATTACCTGAAATCAGGTAAATCAAAGCCGTCTTCAGAGGAGTCCCGGAACATCTGGAGACCGCTGACATCGAGGAAAAAGGTTTCCAACCATCATCCGTCACCAGGATGATGCGAGGAAATCGACCGCTCCCCCTGGATTTGGTTCAAGTGAACCAAAATCAGAAGCATATTTATGACATCCGGGATCTCCTCAACGTTATACAACACCAAAAAACCAAAACACCAAACCCCAATCAACCCCAACCACCCCAACCCCAACACCACACCAACCCCAACACCAAAAAACACTGGTAGGGCAGTGTCACCGATGTCAGCGGTTCGGGCATAGCCGACGGAACTGCCTAGCTATCCCCATTTGCGTCAAATGCGCCGGCAGACACCTTTCAGGTGAGTGCAAGAAGCCACGAGCAGATCCGCCCAAGTGCAATAATTGCAAGGGTGTGCATACTGCAAATTACCGCGGTTGTCCTGAGTTTCCCAGGGTTCGCAGGAGGATCAAAGTAGCTGCAAATGCCCCCCGAAATGCACCCACACCTGGAAAGCATCCTGCCGGTGCATCTGGCACACGCTCGGGAATGAGCTACGCAGGAGCGGCCAAGAGCGGTAACACCTCCGCCAGGCCGACAGAGGCGCTCAGTAGTCCCCGCCCGTCGAAGGTTAGTGACATCTGTTTCGCTCTGGACCAGATGAAGAAACTCTTCATTCAGTTCCCCGTATTCGAAAATATGTTTACGGTGAACACCAACGTGCTAACTGGAACCTGTTGATGGCTAGACAACCAACATTGCCTGATTCTCTTGAGGTTGTATTTTGGAATGCCAGCAGTATTTCAAACAAGAAATTAGATCTTGAAAATTTTATAATACAACAAAACATCGATGTTGCACTGGTGCAGGAAACTCAGCTGCACAATGAACCTTTTGGTATTCCAAACTAGCGTTTTTACCACAGAGAAAGCGTTGGACGTGCTGGAGGAGAAGTTGGCATTTTTGTCAAACGGAAGCTTCCTCACGTACAATTTGGCATTGACTCGTATCAGTTACATGGCACGAAAGCCGTGGGCGTTGAGCCCCAACTGAGAAGAGGTCGTCATAGACTAATCACAGTTTACAACCCTCTGTGGAATCGTCTACTCCCAGAATCACTGGATGAACTGCTGATGTCGACAAATACGCCCACAATTGCTGCTAGTGAATTTTAACGCCATGCACAATCTGTGGAGCAGACGAACGGCCGAGCGCTCCATGCGCATGCTGACAGGCATGAGTATCGAGTGATGGGTCCAGATGAGCCCACGTTCTACCGTGGGGATTTAAGGCCTGACGTGCCTTGCGTGCACTGCTCAGGAACGTCTCCATGTTCAGCGAAGTGTTCACTTTGTCGAAACTTGACTTAGATCATAATCCAGTTATCCTGATGCTGGGTGATGATCCCACTCCCCAGAATTATCGCATTCTTTACATGAGTGACCTTACGAAGTTCGATCATGTGAAGGTTTCTCTTTACGTCGATGATACGGCTCTCCTCGCTTCTTCCATGGGTCGGGCGTTGGCGGTCGTCTACATACAACGCGCGTGGACGACCTCGAACGCTGGTACCTTGACTGAAAGATTCGAGTGAATCCAGCAAAAAACTCAGGCGATATACTTGGGGAGAATTAAAGTTTCTCCAGACACAAGGGTCACGATTTCAGGCAGGGAGATTGAATGGCAAACGCGAGTCAAGTACCTAGGTCTTTGGGTAGACCGCCGACTCACCTGGGCAAATGCCATCGATTATATCAAGAGCAAAGTGCAGATGGTGATAGCTGAACTCTATCCTCTGGTCAATAGAAATTCAAAATTCAATCTCAAAAATAAGATTTTACTATACCATATGATGTTCAAGCCTGTAATCATGTATCAGGATGCTGGTGAATGCTCCATGGTGCGTGCAGAATGAAGGCATCCGCAGAGATTTGAAGCTGTTAACTATACGACAGTCCATTCAGTCGAGGAATAGGAGAGTTTTTGAGTCAGCGGAAACTCATGATAACCCATTAGTTGGGGAAGCTGTAGATTACACTATAGACGACCCCACTCGATTCAGAAGGCCCCGTCGCGTCTCTCGGTTGAGTGAAGACCCCACAACTTCTGTTGAAATGAACAGTTTGTTCATCAAATACCCCAGTCAGGAAGGGGTACACAAGGCCAGAGCGGCATAAAGGTCATTGACCTTTATGTCGCCATGAAAACACCCTACGTTATGAACCATTCATCCTCCTGACGAATCTCAGTTGTGAGGGCGAGGAAAAAAAAATGTAACCTGATGAAAATGAAGATGACTATGATGAATGTTTTCAATCGAGGACTACCTGCCCGGTACTGACGATGGCCTGTAGGCTGAAACAGCCGTCTACCGGTGGCTCTTAAATTGAAATCAATATGGGAATGATCAGAATTGAACCTATTCATTTATCTTTTGATTTTCCAGCAGCTTGACTGCATTAACCTTTGACGATTCGTTTTCCGATGGCATTACAAGTTAGCTTCCCAAATTTCAACTACCGCAGTTGTCGGTTGCTTGGTCTAACCACCAACACTGACATTAAACGTTGACAAGTTGACTTGGGTGTCACACCAGTAGGTGGTTCCACTTATGTCTCGCTCGCGTGTACGCAGTTATTTTCATTAAGTACTTTTCTTGGTTATTGACATTTTGTCTTCAATCGAGGATCGCCTGCCCGGTACTAATGACATACGGGTACAGTCTCAACGCGAAAAAACTCCATTTCGAGCCCTGAAGGGGAAATCAATTGAATTTTAACATTACTATTATTATCATTTCTTAAATCTGAGGTTGTGCTGGTCGGGCCCTATCGCCCGAAACCTCGATACCTTCAGGAGGGCGCTTCGGCATTATCAACCACTGACCACTACACTCCATGGGGTAAGTGATCACTGGGTCCGAGAATCATGTGCCCTAAGCTAGCACAGTTAAGTATTATTATTATTAAGTACATTTATTATGTTTCGAAGACCCCTAACGAGTTCGTATAACATGAGCATTCGCTTTAGTATTCCTAGAAAGGTCCGTGGAACCGAATACAATCATCGAATTCTGATATACCTACCTGTTAGTGAAATCCAGCCCTTGCCATATTCGCAGCCCACTTAACATTTGCGTTCGCTCAGGTTGAATTCAACGCCGAAGGCATCATGCTCATTTCATTAGCATGTGCAAACGTTTTCAGGCTATTCCTCAATGGGATCGAATTTATTTTGAATGAACGGAGACTGAGCAAAACGATGTTCTTGTTAAAATATCAGAGATATGCTGGATAGTTTGAAAATATTTTTCTCGAAAGTTCTCAAAAATAGCTTTCATTCTGATGTTGGTATGCAATATTTTCGAGATTATATATTTTATCAGTACTATGTTGCTGTATCGCTGCTGTTTCCATATTTTGACAGAATCAGAATCAACGAACTCAGGTGTGCGCAGCGTAGAACAGTGCCTTCAAAAATTGTTCTACAGCGCCTTATAGTGACGAGTTACAAAAAAATTGATAGCCTAAAAACCTTCTCTATGAAAAATTACTTATACATGTCAAGTTTCATCATGATCGGTTGAGCGATGTAGAAGTTTATCACTTACCAACCAACCAACCAACCAAC